TTAAAGATGTAATTACTGAAGGTTTGGCTAAGATAACAAGGTTTTTAGTCCCGGTGTCAGCCATGTGCATGTGCATTACACATACTCTGCCTCGAAGAACAATGTCAATTTTTATCTCTCTGGAGCTAAGACATGGTTTCCTGGGAGCAGCTAACAGAGCAAATGGCTGAAGTTCCATGGCACCATGGAAGTGTGGCTTTTGCTGTGGCAGGATGGCCCAAATGCATTTTTTTCACACGATAGGACACAATACATGACCTGATGAGCGAAACTGCCCCTTGCTTTTGATAGCACTCCTTATTCTCCTGTTCTTTTTACAAAGTCAGAAATCCACCATTGATTGATCTGAGCCTCATAGTTAACATTTTCAGAAGGATCACATTTCCCTTACAGGATTTAATTGTTTTTGCTTTTTGTTTTTTTTTTACTTAAGAGATGAAACACTTCACTATAAAAATGAAAGATAAATTAAGCATCTAGTTACATTTTTGAAACTTCGAACTTTTAGTTTGACTTTAAACTTTCCTTAGAATAAGGACACCACACATCACTTCAGTTTGCTGCTTTCAAGGTCATGACTGGGATCAGACAGTGCCCATTTTTTGATACAATTAGAAGATAAAGACCTGTCAATTCTCAGAGGGCTTAACCCAGAGCTCTGAGCAGAAGTGGGTCAATCGCCCTGCCCTGTTATCTGTCTAATTAATGATGCATTTAGTTCAAGACTTGTAAATCTACTCATCCACTTCCCCAAACGCTTTACATGTACACACATTCCCTTACTAGCTATTACCATTTCCTAAAAGGTACACTAAGTATGGACCTTAAAAATCTCAAAACAATACCTTTCAAATGTATTGTCTTCCTGCATAATTCCTTGCCATTTTTGTGACTGTTAACCGTGTCAGGGTCCTGAAATCACTGGCAGATAATGAAGTGGGAGAAATGGCTGCACATGCCAAAAATGTGCTTGAACAGTCAGGAATGGAAAATGAGTACTCATTTACACCCAAGGATTACGTGAGTGCACATCTCCAAGTATTTCTGTGCTGAACCACTTGGGTATCCCACACTGCAGTTGCTGCCTTCCCAGTTTCTTTTTCTGTTACTGTTGGCGATTCACTTGTAGGCAGGAGTCTGTTTACCAGCTTCCTGTTAGTTATGGGAAGCAGATTTTCTTAAAATGTTAGGGACACTCATGTAATTCTTGTTCAGACACTTCAGACAAGATACTCACCAGCCCTTTAGCATGCCTACAAAGCAGCAAGCTCAGCTGGAATGCATGTGTTTCTTCTCCTGCCCTACAACTTCTGATCTCTTACTGAAATGAAAAGCCTGAAAAGACAAAACCAGCTTCAACCCAGTTGTGAGACACTGAGGTGACAAATGTATATGCTTGGGTCGTCTGCAGATGAACCATGTGAATTCTGAACTCTACTCACTTAACTAAGTTGGAAAATTCAACTAAAATAGTAAAATGTTAAGAGACAAAATGTATTCTAATGTAAACCTACAAAGAGGAAAAACACTGCCTGAAGTGTTACAAAGCTTTTCTTATGGAAACATCTGGTTAGTCCATCTAGCCTGTTTTTGTATATGCTTCCCTGCCCCTTGAAGTGCGTGTGTCCCCCCTCCTTCTACTCCCTCCTCTCTAAAATATGAGCAAATATATTTGCATACATTAAAATCATAAAGAACCCAAAACATCTGGAAATTTTAGAAGCAAAGCAAAATGGTCAGGGGAGAAAATTCAATTTTAAAATGCAGATGTTTAATTGTGCTGTCAGTGTTGGTACAAGGGAGTAAGAGCAGAAATACCCAGAAGCCACCAGAGGAAAATTAAAATACTTTCTTTCTTGGGCCCTTGCCGTGGTAAAAGCAGTGAAATTGGTAACACAATATGGACAGAATCTTTCTAGAGTGGGGTCTGAAAATGTTACCATGTGCAATTTCATAAATAAGCCATTTCCTAAAGCACAATAAAAATTTTTCATGCTCTCCCTTTGCCTTCAGTCATCAGTATCAGGCAGTTATTCGGGATTTGGCTTTCATCAATGACAAGCTCTTTCCCCCACCCTTCGCGCCTCTTTCTAAGACCCTCTGATAGTGCTGAGTGGCCAGAAATTACAGATGCAGGACAGCTGACAAATGACTGCCAGACCCCTCCCCCAGGACCTTGGCAGTCACAGCTTCTGCCAGAACACGCCTGAGCACAGCGCGCCTTCCAGACAAAGACACAAAGATTCCATTTTCTCAAGGAAAATAGATTTCATGTGTAAAACACTGGTGAGAAAAATTGAAAGTTGACACATGTGCAGTCTCCATGAGGCAGGATTGAATCTCTCTGAAGATTGAAATTTCACTTGATTGCATCAAAACCTAACAAATATTATTTAACCTAAAAGTATTTCAGTATAAACGACATCTAATGGTAAGATGTTTTATTTGTTTAAGCACGTGGTTATGAAGGTAAATTACTTTAGAGCTTTTTAAAGAGATATTCATCATAGATGACTGTTGGGTAAGGAGAAATCGACGCTGGGTCTACAAAGTAAGAGGGATATTATTTTTTAATTAAAACCTTATTGAATTAAGGTTTAGCAAAATAGTATTAAATTCTTATGAGTGTATTTCCTGTGGAAAGAATCTACTTCTAGCAGCCCCAGGATGTCATTACTGGAGAGACAGCGAGTACCTTATTAGAGATGAAACCTTGGCATATCAGCCTTGCCAAGCCTGTAGGTTTTGTCTTATGGGCCCAGAGCCCTTGCTTCCACAGCAAAGGCCATCTGCTTGGCCTCCCGGTCATGCCAGGCAAAGGTAGGTGCAAAGGCCAGGATGGGGAGACAAAGAAAATCTATCTCCTGAGAAAGATTGTGCTTGTCTACTAGTCTGCCTGGATGCCCATCCACACTACTCAGAAAATGAGTTCAATGTTTGCAGAAAACTTAGCTTAATATACTTAAGAAAGAATGTGAATGTACCTTTAACAAGCTAAGATAAAATGAATAGCAGCTGTCAGGGGTAATAGACCAAGAAAGTGCATTAACGATGTTTTAATTTTTAAAAATGTTTTACAACAAATTAAAAAACAAGCAAATGAACATATTTTGTATTTTTCTATAGTTTTTCCAAGATCCTACAATTCTTAAATTTCTTTAGCCTGTAGAAACAGAGAAAGAGGAAGAGAGAGTGAGAAAGGGAGATTAGCAAATATTTCAGAATCCAAAATGAAATATTGTGGAGGATAACGAAACTATTAGCTAAATCTCACTGCTGTTAAAATATTTTATATAAACTCTCTATTCACAAAAATATACAGTTCAGGACACTGCAGGTATCATGTCCAAGGGAGGGAGTTGTGTATTTTAATATTTTAAAAGATATTTATAATATTAGCAAAATTGACACTTCATGTATGGTATTAAAATACTCTACCTATATGTCAATATGCTTTTGAGAAACAAACACCAGTTTGTCTGGAAGCATAATTTTTATTCTCTATTCAGTCATGCTGCAACCTTTCCCTGATGACATCTCAATTCCCCTGCCTAGAATATAAAGGATTTTGCAGGTTACAGATAACTTTTGGAGAGCAATCATTGGAGGAAACATTCTATTCTAAATGCAAATTCCTGTGGTAAGGGGAAAGGGTGTGAGATATTTTACTGTTTAAAAACAAGTGTACAGCGTGCTAAGCAGCTTTCTCTCCCTCTTGCATCCATTGACACAAACCAGCCCAGAGCTCTGAAATGTGAACACTGCTGTGCTGATGGGTGTGTGCACATTTCATAATGTTTCATCATCTCCATGACCCAGAGTGCAATACTCTGCTTCAGATTTTCTTAATGTGTACCCCACATGTTTACTCATACATATTGACTCTCCCTGTTCTCCCTTGACCATTAGTCTACTAACCCGAGTGACACGGGCTGAGGTAGAATGGCATGATAGGAAACTTCCCACCAGAAAACAGGCCTCTTCATCCTCCTCCCACCCCAGATGGCCTGTGTCAGGAGGATGTGTGGAATGGTTGGTACCCTTCCTCACACTGCCAGCCAACAGGTTCTCCTCTTTAGCTGCATCCTAAGAGGCCCCCAGAATTCAGCTCCAGGAGACAATGAAAACAGCTTGTTCTGGGAAGGAGACAAGCATGAGATTTAAAAAATAATAGTAATTGAAGAAAGACAGCCATAGACTTTGGAAATAAAGGTAATATAAATATATTTAAATAAAAAATACACAATGACAAACCTAAGAAAGTCAGCAAACAAATAAGAAACTATTTTTTTATTTGGGGGATTATTTTTCCTTTGTTTCCAATTTGCTAGGATTCTCTAATTCACTAGTGAAAGGAAACTCTTTTATAGTCACTTGCCTGCCTCTAGCCCAGTTAAAAGAATATATCACATTGCTGAATCACAAAATCTATTTTTGAGAACTTGCAACTTCAACAATGATGATAGGCTAAAAGAATGACATAAAAATAACATGCTGTCACTAGGTAAGCTCCTCTCTTAAAGAAATGAGATGATATAAACAAAACTAACATATTTAAGATATTTTAGAATGAAGGTACATTTCATTGCTAATTGGAGCATTTAAAAATATTTTAGATGCTTTTTTGTGTGGGAAATGCATTGCAGAGAAGACCAATCCTGATAATTAATTCAGAGGCTGAGATAGCCAACATTTTTAGTTTACCTTTACCAGGGTCTTCTGTTACTGGAAAAGGTGTATTTATGGCAGTGGAGAACTTTGGTGATCTTTGGGACTAAAACTAGTCATGAAGAAGGCAGAATGTAAGATGGTAAAAGTGAGCAATCCCTATGGACTGATGGATGGAAAGTCATCTTCATAAAAAGTAAGAAAGAAGCTGGGATTGACATGTGAAGCAAGCGTGTTTCTAATTTAAATAAAAAAAATGAATCAGAAAGAACTTACGATAATTTGCTCGATATGACCTGAGTTCAACAGAGAGTCATTTTTGTTTTGCATAGGCTCTGGACACAAGAACCAATCCATGAAGGAGGCTGAAAGCAACTCCATCTACATGTTCAGTGGCAATCCAGTAGGAACACAGCAATGTGCATGTCTCTGTGAAACGTAGAGGTTGGTTCACTGTACTCTACAATTAGGATGTGATCAAGGTACGTCATTTCTTTGAGCTCACTTGAAACACTTTGTTCTCTTTGTGTTGAGTTTCCTTTCTGTTTTGACCCAATGTCTCCATGATCTCTCTCTCTCTCTCTCTCTCTCTCTCTCTCTCTCTCTCTCTCTCTCTCTCTCTCTCTCTCTCTCTCTCTCTCTTTCCCTTCTTTCCTCTCTTTTCCCCCTCCATCCCATTTCTCCCATTTCTTCTCCCTTTTCTTGCTCTCATTGGCAGATGTCTTTTATAATTTATGTTATTTACTGTCCTTTTGTTAAATGTAGGCTGCATCACTTAAGTGAGCCAGCAGCCAGAGCACCTCAGTACACAGTGGAGGAGCGGCATGCGGGAAATGTTCCCACTGTCTCATCAGGGCCGTTCTAATAAGCATCTTGGTGCCACTGAATGCAAAGCTGCACTCACATGACAGCTTTCATCTTCATGCTTTTTTAAATATAAAAGTAACCCTCGAAGCCCTTTGAAGGACCCAATGATGCAACACACACAAGAAAATAGATCAGCAAGGCTTTGAAAACATGCTTGTACAAGAATCTGCAAAGCACCTTACCATCTTTATCAAGAGAGACATCTAGGTAAATGACGGCCTTTAATAAGACACATGACAATCTCAATTATGAGGGTCATTATTGTGTGTCCTCTGTGCTGTTTTATGTTCCCAGCAGGGTGTTTGTCTGTTTATTTTTATTTTCCTTCATATCCAAAATTTCAGAACTGTCTACAGTTCTCTCTGTATATAATGTATCCCCAAAGATACAATAGTTTGTGTTTTACTTGTTTTTAGTAAAGCCACCATCCCCTGCCTGCACCAAAAAAACAAAACAAAACTTCATTAAGTAGTCAGACAGGCTGGAACTAGACAGTTGTATGTAAGAGGAATAAAATGAAGGGTAAAATGTTATAATCTCTATCTGTGTGATGGCCGTAATATCAGCTCCTGTAGTCAGGTGAATAAGCCATGGCTACTGGAGCCTGAAGCCTAGAAGAACAGGCTGCCCAGTTGGTGGTATGCAGGACCCTGCCTTTCAGGATGTGCTATGTGGTATGATGGGAAATCCTCACTGAATGCTTTCCCCAGTTAGTACCCACCACGCGCCCACCACCCCATGCCTGTGACACACTTCCCAGTCTTTGTATCCTAGTCCTTGACAGCTCCATTTTGATTTTCCTTCTTCATAATTCCTAATTGAAAGAACAACAAAACAAAACAAAAGCAACATCTACCAGGTCCTTTGACTTCTGTCCTTGCTTGCTGAGAGCTCCTAGAGAAAAAAGGGGAAAAAAAGTAAAGAACATGTTTTCAAAAGAGACACTGCATCTAAAAGCATCCCCAGTGAACCGGAGACACATGCACTCTCTGTGCTGGGGTTGTAGATTGGCCAGACCCATCTCAGGAATACACAGATTTTAAAAGTGCTAAAATCCAGAGGCCTGTCTAGTGTGTGTATTCACCATGCTTTTGGGAGTTTCAGTTCATTATTTAGTTTTATCCTTATTTTTTTTAATTTAACGGAATTGTAGAGATGATAGGACAATGTGACTTCTATCAGGTGAGAATCAGGAAGTCCTGAAGGTAGCTCCTATGACATAGGACTAGCTGGAAGTGCCATTGGTTTAATTACAAGTTTGCATATATGCACACCAAGAAAACACACACTCTGAGTTGATGTAGAAATGATTAGGGAGAAATATAGCTACATAGAGCTAACTGGAGTTACCATCCAACACAAATAAGAATGTTTTTGAAATTGCCTGAGGATATTGTTCACACAGTAAACTGACTTCAATTATTTATCTTTTAACATTTGTATACATATGAAGCTGGAAAAATTCTGCTCATAATCAAATATTTTGGACACATGCAGCATTCATTCCTATAGTTTTGACTGCTTGGAGGGAGGCCCAGAAGAAAGGAAGGTAAGTTACTGAATAAGTCATATTAAGCCTTTGGAAATTCATTCCTTGTTTTCATTATCATAGTTTTTAAACAACTGGGTGAGATGACAGCCCAATTTCTCAGTTATGAATATTCTCATAGAAATGTTAGCTGAAGGATCAAGGAGGAGAAGCATGATAGATAAACCAATACATCCTCTCATTAGAAGAATTGGCAGAATTCTGTGCCAAATACAGTTTATTCTGGAAGATATGATTGGAATGATGTTTAAAAACAGGATATTAAGTACACCAATAAATATTTATGTACATTAAAATTTTGAAAATTTTTTGTTGTTGATTTTTGAGACAAAGTTAAGAAGGCAAGCCTAAGTGATTTTAGAAAATAAGGGCACCATATTTCTACAATGTTTGGATTGCAATGTTTTAAAGACAGCTGTCTCTTCAGTGCAACACGAACATTTTGACAAAATAGCAACCATTGAGTGGTTTGAGTCTCTAGCAGAAAATGCTATTTGCTATGTATGCAGGACAAACATCTCACAAACTGGGGTTGCACCTAAGTAAAACAATAATTCTAAAGTATTATTTTGTCCCTGGCATACAAATGGACTTTGGCTGCCCATCCCACAATAAGGAATGCTCTCTCAGCCTCGACTCTTGATGGAGGGCCTAGGCCCTGCCCTGGATGAAATGACAGACTCTGGAGATCCTCCATGGAGGACCTCACCTTCCCTGGGGATTCCAGTGGAAATTGAGTGGGGAACTGAGGGACTTGGTGGGGAAAGCAGGGGAGGAGTGGGGGAGAGGTAGCTGGGAATTACATGTGAAGCAAGCTTATTTCTAAGTTAAATAAAAAAGGAAGAAAAAATAATTAAACCAGAATTTATCAGTCATATTTCTCCAGTGTTAACTTTATGTAGTAAAATTATACTATATTTTGAAAGGCATCTTCAGTCAGGGAGATGTAGGAACACTTATGGGAGAGGTCACATCTTGCACACTTGAACATATTCCAGAGCTCTTAGGATTTTTAAAGCCACACTAAAAGGTGTGTATTAATCATAATTCATCTCATATGGAAACCAGGCTAACGCTTTAGCATATAATTCTGAATTGAGAAAACTTACAGATAACATATGGTCTTACCAAGAACACTGTTTTTACTACCATCGAAGTTAGCACGTGCAATCTTATATAGCAGCTTGCTTTTTCGCAAGAAGGTGATTAACTAAGATGGGCATTCATGTGGAGCATGAGACATATAACTCAGAATTTCAGCACAGAAAGAAACCTTCAGTACAGACTCCCTGCTGATGCAAATCAATTATCTGTATTTTCTGCACTAGGGTGGAAACTCTTTGGAGGCCTTAGAAATTGAAGTGGAGCTTTGAGTGGAGAAGAGGGGAATTTCGCTCATCTCACAGGGCCACACCACTGACGTGGAGGCTCTCATTTCCCTCGTGGGCACAGGAATTAGAGTAACTATGACCAATTAATGTTGAGTGGAGAACATGTTATTTTTCTCTAGGTCAGGGTCACTCATCCTGGCCTTTGCTGATATTTTAACCCAGATAATTTCGTGGGGAGGTCCAGCAGCTTTGGCTTCTGCCTACTGTGTTATAGTCCCACCCTCTCCTAGCTCCTCAGATTCAGATATAGGCCTGCACCCTTCACTGACAAGATCTACCTGACTGAATACTACCTGTTTAAGTATTTTGGGTTTCTTCTTTGATCTATACATAAAACGAGTTATATCAGATCTTGGAACTCACTTTAATAGAACTTTGTGTGCAGCCATTTTCTGAACAGAGAGAACAGCTCTGACACAAATGCTTCTGATGAACAATATTTTATCTATGTATGTTAAACTGCAATTCTAACTGTGAATTCATCATTTGCATCACTCATGTGGTAACATAGGTATTTTAAGGGTCATGGAATGTGGGCTAATGCCTTATTTGAAACGATTCAAGTTATCTAGCTATGTTGACATAAAATATTTGCTGCCATTTGAAAAGAAACACTTTTCTCATGTGTTTTCATTAAATATAGTAATATGTGTTCAGAACAGAGTTTTGATAACAGAGAAGAAGACGATTTGAATGATTGTATATGAAACTGAGCTCACAGAAAGAGTTCTAAATGTATTTTGTCGTCAGCTTGGGATTTCTCTATTAAGCAGTGTTCTTGGGAATGTACATAAAATGTTGAACAATAATGAAAGTTTGAAGAGATTATGTAGGATTATCAGGGATGTGAATTGAGAAATTTGGTTCTTTTTATGTAGTAAGGAGGTAGTAGAGAAACTACAAACTTGATACACCTTTCTTTTATTTTATGCTGGTGGTGATTTTGATTGGAAAGAAAAACATAAAAATATGATAGTCACACAGAGACTAAGAAGATAGGTCATCAAAAGAAAGTGCCTTCTGCATCTTAGGATTCAAACAACAGAGAAAATACATTCCATGGCCTTAGTTCTTTTCCAAGTTGTTGACATTCCATGAACAAAAATGCTACATGAATAATCTGCATGTATAAACTGATGAAGAGTAACACACTGCGTAAGGTTGTAATTGTCCATTGAGTGAGACTGCATATGTATTTGCACATACACATATATACACATGTGTGTACATGTTGTGACCTCCCCATTGTGCATATGTTTTTACAAGGATGATTTTCTCCTTGTTTGTTTCAGTTTCTGTCAATTTTTCTAAGGTGTCTGTGGTTTTCTGCTTTATGACCTTTTCCAGGTGATGTGGAAGCAGAAAAAATTAAACATACCATGTTTGTGTGTATATATATATATATATATATGTATATATATATATATGTATGTAAGTATGTATGAGAACTTATTGTTAGTAGGTGTTGCATGTGAAGTGAATGAGTTCACATTAAGAAGAAATTACAATTTGGTTTAAATGATAGACTGGGAAACTGTTTTCAGCAACTTTGTTAGTAAAGCCCCTTCTAACTATCATGGATTTTTTTAGACCAGAGTTTCCCAAACTTTGGTTGTATCAGAAATTCCCAATGGGTTTGTGAAAACACAGACTGCTCAGTTTGGGCCTACAGTATATCTTCAGGTGAGCCTGCAATCTCCATACATAGCCAACCTCCAGCGATGTCAGATGGTCGTTGTCTTACAGCTTTCCACACACTCATGAACCAACTCTTCATTTGAGCTAAAATCTTTCCCTTTTGTAGAAATGGCAAAGACTATATGGGTTAAGTAAATAAATTCATGACTTGGGAATACTCATTTGTAATAGACTGACTGCTTTACCAGTGGAATAGATGGATTATAAATGAGGCTGTTTTCAATGTGATCCTTGATGTGTTATTGAAAGACAAGAAACTTTAAGAGATAAACAAAACAGGTTATCCCTTCCCAAATACAAATTTCAATCAGCTTAATTTTAAAATGCATACTATATAGTAATACAATGCTAAAAATATCTGACATCAATATTTTATCCATCTTTTCTCCTAATTATCTATGTGCCACCTAATCTCAAGGAGTTATTGACTCTGTTCTCTTAGTGTTCAACCTTACCCTAATATCTCTCAGTCTTATATAATATTTTATTATTTATGAGTATTGCAAGTCTGTACTAATTCAATACTGTTACTTAAAATTCATCAGGATTCTATTACATTTATTTAAACACTAATACATGGAATATAATCTGTTTCATATACTAGCCAGAACTACAGAACCCATTTTGGCAGATGGTCAGGGCTCCCCACAATGATGGTGGAAGACATACATCTGAAGTACTGGTGTAGTTAATCAGTTAATCTTGTGGATGAGACGTTGAGAAGTGTGAGCCCCATGGTCATTGAGTGTTTTCTTATCCTTTGTACAGTATTTGAAGGCATTCAAAGTAAACCAGCTACCTGAGAAGTCCCTGAGTCAGATGTAATAGACTAGTCCATCTTAAGACAGAAGTCAACTTCTAAACCTAACTCCCTAGTTTGACACAACTATGAAGCATGATGTAAGAATGACCCATGTGATGTGTGACCATTCAGCCGAAGATTATCCTGCACCACATCTAGTCAGATGTTATTGTACAGATTTCCACAGAAACTATGGAAATATGGAATGCTTGATGTTTTAAGAGAAGATGAAGGCAGCTGTAATGAAGACAATATGAAGCCCATCTCTTTGTGATTGGGAGAGAATGAATCCAAAATTGAATTGCAACTCTTCCCTGTACACCAGGCCACCAACTTTTGCTTATTTGGCAGAAACACAGAGTCACTTAGCCAAATAAACAACATAAATATTCCAAAAGAAGATACTGTGAAATTGCATTAATATTTATTTCAATACATATGTATTATGTTTGACAGTGAATTAAGCCACACTAAAGCATATATGCTTTAAGATTCCTCATAGGAATATGGCCTCTTAGGTTTATCTGTGGAAGTTTACAGAGATCTGAAAAATTTGTAGTTGTTCTGACTGCATAGCAAAGGAAGATAGAAAGTATTTGTTGTGAATTGAATATCACAAAGTCATCATCCCCTACTGTATTCAATTACTGCTACTCGAAGAACCTTGAGCACAAGTGCCTATTCATTCCTGAGTAAATATTTTATATTCTCCAATACAGTGGATAAGCAGTATATTGGAATGCTAATAACTATACTTCATTGTTCTCCAACACCTTGCAAACATTATCTAAATTTGAGATTTAGGTTTATAAGTTGACTCCTGTTTTCAGGCAACTACAATAGTTTACAAATATAATAATGCAGGATTGAGCCCCTCACTTCTACGTTTTCTAATTTAACAATCCTAGCCCCCTGCCTTTCCACAGAGGCAAAAGTAAAAATCTCTTTAACATAAAGAACTCCAGCTTGTCATGTGCATATCCAAAGTCCTGGCATTGATGCCAGATCCACGGTTTCCAAGGGGGAGGATAATCTGTGATAACAAAATTGTATCCCTTTCTTCCTGCAATTACCTCAGCGTCCTTACAGCCTTGACATCTGGAAGCCCCCAGTTACTGTCACAGCTGTGATTCCTGCCCCATTGCAGGAATTTAAGCACATGTTCCAAAGAACACTCATTGTTTTGCTATTTTCTGGGAGCTCAAAACCAAGGCTATTGGCAAAAACATTACTTGCTACCACATACTTTAGAATCATATATTCATGTGTGACACATCACAATATGAACCTCTTATTTCCAGGTGGTGTGGCTTTTGCTTAGCAACACACACACACACACACACACACACACACACACACACATATTGGGGAAGTATCTTGAATTTAGCCATTTTTACTTTTTATTTAGATGTACACTGGTTTTCAGTGTTCTTTTTAGTGTTCTTATCTTTGATTTTGAGACTTTATTGCCATCAGTTTCTCAAATGATTAAGGCTAGTTAGGAAGATGTATGCTTCAATACACTCTCCTATTAAAACTGTTGGGAGAGAATTAGGTAGTAAGTGTTGTGAGAAACATAGCACTCTGTATTTGTTCATATAGTACTTCAGATAGCAAACACATTTCAAGTACTCGAGAATCAGCTAAAAAAATCTAGTTTCCCAGATGAAGTACAGAATCACTAATTGTCAGGAAAACCCAACTGTCTTTTGACACTAATAAATGTGTGGAATGATTTTGTGATTTAAAGTTGACGAACATTTATGGCTGTTTACATGGCTCACTTTTATTCTTTGAAAATGATCAAAAGCAGTGTGTGCTACATGGACTTACTATTAACTGATCTTCAAAAAAGCCATAATGATTATCCTCATTTTAAGGGCATTAGTGGGTTTTGTTCACAAAATTAAGAGTGAGATGGGTTTTTCTAATGCTCTACAATCATTTTGTTAATCAAAATGATTGCCAGCAATCTTCTAGAAACCAAACTGATTTGCTCCAGAATAGATTAAGGATTGCTCTAACTTACAGCATCACTTGACAAAAATATAATTGAATATGATTTTTATTTAGTGTACTAATTGTATTTTTATTTCTGTTTATCAATTTATCATTTCTTTCATTTACTCCAACATATTAAAACACACTCCACAGCATATAATTTGCCCTAATTTGCTACTTAATTCCAAATTTCCCTTTGCTTGATTTTTTTTAAATTTGTGCTCATAGTTAATAAGTCATCTCCCATAATTCAACAGTTTGTTTCAAATGATTAAAGCAGGCTTATATCATATAGGTAGTGACTGCAATATCTAATATCCTATTTTGGTTAACATTTTTGACAGTGTATTTAAAATATGTTCATGGGATACTACTTTTATACATGCTTAAAAATTGTGTTAGCTTTGGATGATATTCCTCTGAAGTTGTTGGGTGTTATTCTAATATTTTAACATGACATTCTATACTGAAGGTTTTAACTCATTTTGAAACAAATCTTTCTTTGGATAGTGACTGGTTTTTCTACATTCACTACTCTACAAAACCTTGCCAGAGGCTCATCTCCCTGTAAATAGCAATTATAGAGTTCAGAATGATGTTTATATAAATTTTTAAAACCCATTTGAAAATCATATACAAAATATATAGTTCATCTTGTCCAATTGCTTTGCAGCCTTTATGCTTCTACATTGTGTTCTCTTAGTGACAATTCATTTTTCAACACTACAGAATGTGTAAGAGCTAACTTTAGATTGGTCTGTGTAATACGTGAGCATTGAGACACAGGTGAAGTATTTTCAAAATCAAATAAAGCAGAATTGTGTTTATGATGGTCTGTTCACACACCACCAATGTTTTTCAGCATATGGGCAAATGCTCCTTTTCATTGCTATTTAAACAAAAGCACCTGGGGTGCTCTAGTCTGCAGTGGAAGGTCCATCAGTGAGCGAATGTGCCAAGGGGAATGCAAAGGCTTGCTCTCAGGGAGATTGCACTTCAGCTGTGTAATAAAGATCCTTCAACAGAAGTGTCTGCTGTAACCTGAGTGCTGGTCACACAGAGAGAAGCCCCCGTTTCCATAGATTACAAACTGTTCACACCTGTTTAGAAGGCCAGATTAAGGGAGATGTCACTGAGTAGTTCCAGACTTGATTTTAGTTGACTGCTTGTTGATGAGAGTTTTGCAAAACTGACATTGAATTGTTTCTGTTGGATACAATTTGTGTGAGAAATTCTGCTTAAGCTTTTCTCTTTATCCTTTTCGGTTTTTCTCACACCTCAGAAATCATTTTTGACTTTCCAAAGACATCTTAGTTTCAAAGTTCAATGTCAGAACTTTTATGTCCCAACATAAAATGTAACAAGGCAAAATTTGAGATGATTTATGTGCAAGACATTGCACCATTAAAGTATTTAAGCCAACCTTGGCAAAGTTCATTATCAAGATTTTCCCATATTATACATTTTGATGATGGATTTTATTTTTTGTAGTGCTTGGGTTTCAACCCAGGGCATTGCATGTACCAGGAATGCATAATACGACTGAATTACATCTCCATATTGGAAATAGTATTGTTGGCTATTAAATAGTGTGTCTTTAGTTGCTGCAAAGTTCTCACTGACAAAAGAAACTAAAATGTATTCTTGACTATGAGGATGTACATAATGAATCTTGGTTAAAAAAATCCTAACCCTCTATATTTTAAAGAATTTATTACTCGTTTTTTAAATAAAAGGAAGAGTCACCAAACAAATGTGTAAGACTTAAAATATACTATATTTGAAAACTGTCACTAACTCATCATCTGAAATAGCTGATTTGAGAACAGATTTCACACTGTCACATACACCAGAAGATGTCTAAAACAGACTGGCTTTTCTGCTGTTGGATTTTCCATGGAAACATAGTGAGTCTACTAGGAATATCTTTCAGATAATGCCCTTCCCTTGAGAAGTTATCATACATTTTTACAATTAAATTTTAAAGTAAAAATGTTAACATTTCGCAAATATAGCTCTCACTTGGAGTCTTGACAGGGACTGCACATGTTTTGCTGCAGTGTGGTGAATATTTTACTGTAGACTCTTAGCTCTTGAGTTTCTTCAGAGACCAATAAGTCTTGATGCCCTGCTTAGTCTCATGAGCAAAATATCTCTCCATTGATCCAAAAGAAAAATTACAGAGAAGAACATCAATCTACACAGTTCTGACTTCCGAGTATAAAAACATGAAAGTGGTCATTATCAACACATGGAGACAGAGTCTAGGCTCTTTAAACCAGATGCCGTTATTTTGGGCACATTGTTTTCATCACTACACAATCGTAATGCAGCCTGAAATAAGGATGGGAGAGCATGAAGCCCCACCCCCTGAAATGTGCTTTACTTTTTATGTGGTGTGAACAAAGTGACTCTGATGGAAAATGAAATCTGTCTAAGTTTAAGACAGAAGCACAAAGACGTTTTCCTTCTGGAGACCAGACTTCAACACTGAGAGATCAGAGGAACAATTGGATCTGCATCATGACTACAGGCCAAAATTTTCACAGCATTCCTGCCTCCATGTGAGAGCTCACGTGTCTTTAGTGGCATTTAAATTACAGCCTTCTGCAGCCACGCAGTGAAAACACCACTTCATCTGAAGGGACACCACATTACAGTCATAGTTTTATGTCAGATATGTCACAGTTTTAAAATCCATATAATATGCTTACCCTTCTTTTTCTCTTTTGATAGCAAAAGCGAAAAAATTGTCGTTTAAACTAGGTTTATTGTTTAACTAATCAAGATAGATAAAAGACAAGATTTATTTATAATATCTTGACTTAGTTTATAGTTTTTATCTTCCTTTTGTGTTATATATTCCTCCCGTAATTTTATTTTAGCATCCTCATATATCTAATATATCACATATATGTCATATTCACACACAATGAATGAAAATGAAAAATGTTATTTTCAATAGAGAATAACAGGGATTTTGGATGTAAGGCTGACTTAGACTAGAATATCTATCATATATACATATATATAAAAAGAGACACCATGCTCTGTATTCTGGGACAGCAGCATTCTGTACAGATGGCATCTTTCAAATGTCAACCAAGAAAAAAGTTTTAATTGGAATATGTACTTTAACATAATGTTTATTACAGTGACTTCACAATAAACCCCTTCTGAAAATTAGCATTTCACTCAGTATTCCTACAGATAACCAAACAAGACGCTTCACTTTCTATAAAAGCACTACCCCTTCACCCCATCCAATCATTTATATAATAACCCATGTATCTATACACCTGTACTATTGGTGTTCAAAGAGATAAACTCTTTCCCAAGAACACATGCTACCTTTTTGAGTGGATGGCAAACTTTTCTTTCACTCTTTATAGTATAGCATGGACTTCATGTATTTACAATAGGTTTAAATCACATGACAAAATAATGAGCCTCTACATAATGTGCTTTCTCAGACTGAGGTGTGAGATAAGTGACTTTAATACTGCCATGGGAGGTTTTATTTTTTAAGTAATCTGAAACTGTCTTAATAAGTCAGCTTTAGCTGAGAATATTTATATGAAGATTTTTGCCTCAGTTTTGGAAAAAGCCATTTACTACAAATAAGCAAATTCTTAAAATTCTGAAAATTCTAGGCAACTTTAGTGTGTGTGTGTGTGTGTAAGCTATATGAGAGTAGGAATAGAAAAGAATTACTGTGCAGACAGTTCTCAAATTGGAAATGCCTAAGATCCCACAGAATATTTACCTCTCTAAGAATCCAGGTGAGGAATTGCAGAAATATTTATTAATAATAGGGACAATCAATTTTTCCTTTGAATTGGGTTAAATCATGATGAGTAGTTTACCTAGATTTTTTGGCGTAATTTTTTATTAAAATGAATTTTTCTTTTGTATGAAGTGATGGGAATGATAGAGTAGCCATACTGGGAAGTAAAATCATAGAGAGGAAATTCTGCACATTACATAACAGTTAACTTTAGTCTGTTAAACTCCTCTCCCTCCCTCACTAGGATGCAGGACAGACTTATTTCTGGAGGTCCATTGCTTGGTAAACACAATTGAGCATATGCAGTGTGATGAACACCTATAAATCCATTTATATAAAAGCTAGAGGTGTGCCGCATTGGATGACACATCTTCCCTCGTTCTCCCAACTCATATTCTTCTCCCGAGAACTTCCTCCTCATCGTTGCTGTATATCTCCTTTGCAGAATGATCGTGTTACACCTTGAAAGAAATGTTCACCATCCAGTCCAGGCCTGATAAGAATGAGGCCACATGGAGCAGGCTACATGCCACCTATGTGAGATTTTCCCATCGCGCTACCACTTCCCTAAGTTTTGAGGTTCTCTTTGCAGTTGTGTGATGCAGTTGCTTCATTTCTAAGATTTATAAAATGTAGCATTTTGTTAATAGCTTTGCTATGAACCTGTAAGTCATACTTTCAGGACTCCTGTGCATAGCTGCCTATGTCAGGAAACCATATGTATTTCATTGCTGAGTAGAATGTAATCATGCCTAATTTCGGCTCTCCTTCTCTTCTTGACATTTGAGTTACCTTCTTTATGCAGTCATCAGAAACGTCATGTCACAATTCTTGTGTCTATTGTGTCACTCATGGGTGAGAAATACTATCAAATATGTAGTATATCAGTAATTTCTGAATCTTTAGGTTTCTGGAGTATTAGTTTGTACATGGGTTTTATTTTAGATTTGGTTTTGTACTTGTTGCTTTTGTTTGTTTATTTGCTTGTCTTAACCCCCACAGGACATAGTTTTTATGTTTGCTTACTATGTTTAGTCCTAGTGTTCGCTCAACAGTATCTGTGCATTTTAAGTTTGAATTTTTATGATTTAAAATGAAAATATTTCATGTTACACTTATTTTCATTTTTCCTTATTGTCATTCCTCCCTCTAAACCTTCCCATATACCCTTATCCTTCTCTCAAGTTCATGTCCTTTGGCCTCTTTGCTTTCATTGTTCATATATATATTCCTCAGTATATAAATACAGCCTGCTCACTCTGTACTGTATAATGCTTCTTGTCTCCTGTTGGCTTAGTTATATGTCTTACATTGTTTTGTTCTGATACATGGTCTCACTATGAAACTTTCCTGGCCTAGAATTCATTATGTAAATCAGGCTATCACAGATCTCACAGAGAATCGCCTGCTTCTGCCTCCTCAGTGCTGGCATTAAAGTCATATAATGGCATTCTAGGAGTATTGTGGTGCTTGCAGAATAAGTAAAACAATTTAGAGTAGTGTAATTTTAAACTCAACTGGAATTTCTTTACAAATCTAAAAATGTGGAATATGCTTGTGAATATGAAGACATATTGGTAGCTGCTTGAGTAACTTTTTAAAGCCTCATCTTTCATCCAACTTCACTTTATATTATATGAGGTCAACACTGGTAGAATTTGTACTTCATGTGAAAAATCTATTTTAATGCTACAAAGAATTCATGTAAAGAACAGTTCAAATTACCATCCAGCTGTAGAATTTTCTCCCTCTTCCAAAATAAACCTGCATACCCATAACGACACATGCCCAATGCATCGCGTCAACTGCCAGTGCACTTTCTGTATCTGTGAAATTGACTATTCTGTTACACTGTGTGAACAATTATATGGCATTCCTTGTCTTGAGCAACTCATTTCAATTATGACAAGGCCCCCAGATTTCATTCATTTAGGGGAAGAACATCCCTCCATTTCTAGACTTAATAATAATCTTTCATTGTATGTACATATCCATTGCTCATCCAGCTATCTAATCTATGATCAGGGAGCACCAGGTTCTGTCATTCTTATTCTCTTATAAATAATGGTGTTACAAAACAAACAACAACAACAACAATACACCACCACAATAACTCTAACCTTTTTTCCCAATTCATTTTGGGTATGATTTTTTGTAGCTTGTATGAATCAGTATGAGCACCTGTGATGTAGGATGCTATTTTGTTTTCCTTTTAATACTTTCTTCAGATCAGCAGAAAGCAGGTAGGAGATCATTATTTCTAATTTTTTTAAAATTTTAAACTGATATGAATATTTCTTCTTTTTCAGCAGCTAAAACTTAAATGTTGATTTAATATCCATTTTGCTGTTCTTAACTTCAGGCTGTAGAACTGAGAATTCTCTCTTCTAACACAATCTTGTGCACCTTATAGAGACAGTTCTCATTTCTTCTTCAAACGATGGAATGCACTTAGATGAAATACTAGTCAGAAAGTATTTTTACACTTTTAAAATATTTGCCTCAATCACTAGTTAATAAACACTGAATAGGTAAGTCTACAGCCATTAAGGAGTCTCATTTAATTCTTCCATGCCAATCTTAGAGGGGATGAAAGTGAGATTTTGAAAGGATAAGGGCCATAAAATCCATCCATTATACAGGGACAAAGACAGAGTGTCAATTCATGTCTTTCTGGTATCAAAGTTATTTCAAACACAATGTGTCTCAAGGTGAATGAATCCTTGCAAAAGCACTGTGGTAGATAGATCACAGTGCAGTTGGCTGAACATCTTCCCCAAAGAGATGATCTCTGAGAGATGACATCATGTTTGGTTATCTCACAGCTAAGAATTGGTGTGGTATTCATTTGGAGTATTGGTCCTTTACAGTTCCCTGTAATCCATGCATTGCATGGCCACCACTGGTTTTGCTGAAGCTAATAAACCATGATGTTTTCAAAAGACAGGTAAAATCCATGTAAATAGAATGCAACCTAAATAGATTATGACAAGTATACAACATGTTTTATATCAAATTTCTTTTTTCTTTGTTTTACTATGATGCTCAGTCTGACTTTGGACTCTTAGTCCTCTTGCCTCAGTCTTAAAGCAGGTGTACCATCAAACCCATCACCTAGCCACAATCCACTAACTTGTTTGTTAGTTCGTTTGTTCATTTGTGTGCCTGTTTTGAGACATGGGCTCTTGTATCCAAAGCTAGCTTCCAAATCATTGTGGAAATATTCCCAGCCTCCACCTCCAAAAAGCTGGGATTGCTGGCATACCTCGCTATTCCTATCTCATTGCAAACCTTTTATCAGGAGAGTAAGGCTCCCATTTTGTATTTGTCGGGTTTAAGAACATAACAATTAAGTCTTAATCTCATTGCCTTTATGAAGAACTGTTGAGATACTTTTAAGTATGGGCATACAAGTAAAAAAACACTTTTGTAGAATTAAAACATTTCTGCTCCCAGCTACAAATTCCATGTGTTGGCTTGATACAGTAGGTATTTCATAGATGCTTCAGACTGAATTCCAAGGGTTTGCCCCTAAGCTCATTTTTTAATCTAAAGATAACAGCACACTTGAGGATCTTCCAAAGTCCTAGTTACCTGTCCAGGAAGAAATTCAGTCATTTTCACCAGGGCCATTTTCCAATTCACTGCTATTGAATTTCTCTGAATAGAAATGTCATTCATGCTTTAACACACAGAAACAAATCCCCAGAAGTTAACTACTCATTACCCTTTGGATTAATCCATGTAAAAAAAACTGGACTATCATTTTTCACTCTCACATGCAAATAAACAGGTCTTTCTATGTGACTAAAGAAGTCCCAACCCTTGTCATTCCATTAACATTTCTTTACTTCTTCTGTTGTAATCTCTTTCCACACAGAAGAGAGAAAAAGGTGATGACAGTATTAAATAATTCAATTAATAACAAATAACTTATGTGATTATTAATTTATAAAATATTAGTGAAGTACTTAAAATATACTACCTTCCAAAGTGTTTAGTAAGAAAATAGATATTACAACCTCTTACTTCTCACTACACATCCTGTATAACAAATGTCCTTTTAACATCTACAGCTGCTGGGTTCCACCCAGAGAGTTCTACCCAGGAAATCTTCAAGAATCCTGAAATGTAACAAGCTGTCACTAGATTTCCTATAGTCTCTATCTGATCAGGAGTCTTGGGTCATCTTAGTTTTTCTTCAGTTGATTTCATTTTAATTTATTAGCACTAGAAAGTATCGTGATTATTTAACTGAAGCGTAAAATATATTATGGTAATAATAATAATATTAGCCTATGATGAGATAAAGAAAAAGATATTTTATTTGTTAAAAATGGTAACAATGCCAAAATATTTCAGATAAGTTAGTTTTGGTATACCTATCAATCATACAAACATTCTGAAATATTAATACAGCACAACTTCATTCTCAATTTCCTGAGAAGAATGGCAATTTGGACTCTGTTTTTCTCTTCTCAATAAAATAAAAAAGGTTTTCTAGTTGTGGGCCAAGTACTTCCATGGTGGCTTTTGGGGTTTGTCTATTTATTTTTCCAGAATTAGTGGTTTCTCAAACATTAATTTTCAAAAAGCAAGCCACTGACCACTAATTTGATCATTTGCTTGGGTAAAAATATTGTTCTAAATTCCATTTGTTTTCAAGTTTGGGAAACATATCTTCTTTTATTTTAATTTGCTTCCTTTCACTTTTAAATATTTGCTTTATAAAAATACACACAAAGTAAAACCAGAGTGATTGTATTTTTTATTAAAAATTCAATTTGAAATTACTTGATACACCATTCTAAAACATCATGAGGCAAGGTGAGTAATAGAAGGCTTCAGTGAAAGGGGATGCATGTAGTTTATTAAAAAGAGAGAGGAATGACTAAGGAATGGGGAGACAACAGGGATCCTGTATCTGTCATCTTTCAAAAATTATAACAGGCTGAAGGGAAGAAAAGTCAAGCTTGTAACTGACATGCCAACTCATTTCTAGGGAACTTACCCCTACAGCTATAAAATTGTTGTTAAGTATGTATGTGCATGTTACTATAAGGTAGATTTTTGGCTATATATTAACATATGTGACTTTTTAAGTTGAAGCATTAGTATACTGATTCTTTGGTTTTTATGAATAATTACTATAATATTACAATGAATTTCATTTCAGACTTTACTACATTGACAGTGTAGTTTTTTTCTAGAATTTATCCCTGTGGTGTGAACTTGGTTTTCCTGGGGCAAATTTCTCAAGTGTTGGGGTACAGAGTCTTACTACATAACCTTGATTGCCCTCAAAGTCATTTATCCTTTTGTCTTAGCTTCACACTCCCAGATGCTGGGGTTAGAGTTGTGTATCTCCATGCTTAGCTATTTTCACTCAATTTGTAAATATTTATATCCCACTAACTTGATAAATTTAACATAAAACCTAAATGTTGACGTAACCACAACTTTCTATATGGTCAAACCCCAGAAATCTCAGTATGTTTTTGCATAAAAAAACAAAAACTGCATCCATTAAGAAATATATCTCTAGTAAAATTTGAAGGCTTTTTACAGGTAATTAATGGAAACTCTACTGTTTTTAATGAAGTTCTCTTGTAAATATACTAGTATGCTACAGACTGTGTATGCTGTAGAGAACCGTAGTGCTCCACTCACAGTGAAGGGCATGCCTGGCTCATCCCACGTGAGGGTCAACAAAGAGTGCCAGGCTGTACGATGACCATGGAAGATGAGCTCTAAAGGAAGCTTTGTGGGATTTCCACCCAGATGGCTGCAGCAAAGCATAAATAAGAATGAGGAGGAAGTGGTGGAGGAGGAGAGGGCAGAAAGTGGAAAGGTAAAAGCCATTCCATGTGTGTTTAGGAAATGCTCCCATAGGCACACATCTCTTATCATTCCTTAGTGTCTTGACCAGGGATCCAGTGATTCTTCAGTTCGCATCTGTAATCGACAACTTCCCATGCTAATACTTTCCTGAAAAACCCAATCGACCCTTTAACTTTCACATTGTCTTTACTGTCCTGTAATTTTGACAGTAAATTGCTGTGTTTGTCTTCCCCTCTGCCTGTGACCAGCTAAATGGAAAACGTGCCACATGCTGTGGCTGCTATAGGGTTTCAGTGCCTGACAGAGAGGAGAGGAAAGGAAGGAAGGTTTCCCAATGTTATTCTTACACCTTTGAAATTTATTCCAGTGACTTTTCAAAACAGTGTCTGTTCCTTGTCCACCTTGCCTTGTCAAAAAAAAAACTTGTCAAAGAAAGCATCATAGAATAAAAAAACAAATGAATTCCTGCCATAAGCTATCATGTAGCTATAGAAAATAGAAAAATATGCTCATCTCTGGTAACCGTACAAACTGTTTGTACATTCTGTTGCCCACAGACTGGAGTCCAAAGTGCCTACCTAGCTATGAAAACTTAACGTATTTGGAGTC